ACAAGTTACCTTAATATAACAAATGTAAGGGCAAATTTCAACACCTTCTAACATCATAAAAGATGTAAAAACTAAAAAGGTTTCATTTTGTTCTAATTTTTGAATTTTTTACTAAAAAATTATAAAAAAGTTAAGTTGTGGAAAAAAAAATACACAAATAAATGAGAGTAGACCATAATAAAAAGCTCGTATTCAAAGAATACGTTTTACCATTTTTTTAATTGGAAAACGTATTCATTGAATACGTTTTCTTTTGAAAAAAATTCTGAAAAAACGTATTTAAGGAATACGTTTTCTATACAATTTGTATAGAAAACTGTAGTGGGTAGTAGTATTTTTGTATTTTTATTATCTGTTTAATATTAATTTCTGCAAATTGTATGGAATATGTGGGGAAGAAGATGAAAAACGTGAGGAAGAAGTAAGAGAGAGAGAGAGAGAGAGAGAATAGAGAGAGAGAGAGTAGGAGAGAGAAAGTTGTTAGGAAAATGATATCATGATATTCCATTCTTCATCATCCATACTTAAATACATGTGCTAATGGATAAAAAGGCTTAAACCCAACAAATAGCTAACTTATGTCTGAGCCCAACACAAATTGTCTTGCAACCCAACAACATAATAACCAGCCCAAATAACAAGACCAAAATAAAATGGAAAATAGGGAAATTAAAAGAAACCAAATCGGCAACCCTAAATTTCAACCCATTTAGACATTCCCCGACACTTCCCGGCCAACTCCTTTAGATCCGCCATCGCCACCTATAGAATCCATCACAATACCCCCGGCCAAGATCGGACCTTGTCCCCAAGGGCCCCAGTTCGCAAATTTCCGAATCAAATAAGCATCATCTTCCCAAGTAGGCTTTGATGGATCGCCGTTGACCCACTGGACGAGAGACTGGGGAACGTCGACGCCCTTCCGGCGGATGCTGCGACGGTCCACAATGCGTAAAGGTGAGATCTTGAAGTGTCCATCAGAGTCTGTTGCCGGCAAATCAAGAGAAGGTAAGCTTTTCAGATCTATCCTCTTCTTGAGCAAAGAAACGTGAAAAACTGGATGGATTTTTTAGTCTGGTGGTAAGTCTAATTTGTAAGCCACAGATCCAATTCTTTCCAGAACTTTGAACGGTCCAAAGTACCGAGATGATAACTTCAAATTTTTTCGCAATGAAACTGAGTTTTGCTTAAAAGGCTGTAATTTGAGAAAAACCTCATCCCCAATTTCAAAATGCGCTCTTGTCTATGCTGATCCGCAGACTTTCATTCTATGTTGTGCTTTGGATAAATTTTCTTTGACTTGCTGTGAAATTAGCTGCCTTTGTTGCATCATGTCATGTGCATCTGCATTTGTTGTGTCTAGATAGGGTCCGATAGTAAAGTTAGGAGGAGGGTAGCCATAAAGAACCTGAAATGGAGTGAGTTTCAAACTGGTATGAAAATTGGTGTTGTACCAAAATTCTGCCAAGCTCAGCCATTTGACCCACTGCTTAGGATTTTCATGAGCCATGCAACGGAGGTAAGTCTCCAAACATTGATTTACCCTCTCTGTCTGTCCATCAGACTGTGGGTGGTAAGCTGAAGTCATATTTAGGTTAACCCCCAGTAGTTTGAAAAGATCCTTCCAGAAGTGACTGGTAAAGATCTTATCTCTGTCAGTGACAATGCTAACAGGTAGTCCATGTAGTTTGTAGACACAATCCAAGAAAACTTTAGTTATATCTTGAGCAGTGAAAGGATGTGCTAGGGGAATAAAATGTGAATATTTGGAAAACCTGTCCACCACCACCAGGATCACATTTTTGCCATGTGACTTGGGTAAACCTTCAATGAAATTCATGGATATGTGAGTCCATGCATTCTCTGGAATAGGTAGAGGCTGTAATAGCCCAGGGTAGGCACCAACTTCAGGTTTACTCTTTTTGCAAGTTTCACAAGATTTTACCCATGCATTGACATCTTGTTTCAACAATGGCTAGAAAAATACCCTTTTAACTCTCATGTAGGTACCATTAATTCCGGAGTGTCCCCCATATGAGGAACTATGCATGGTTTTCAAAATGTCCTCTCTGAGGGAAGCATCTGCTCCCACAACCACTCTGCCCTTGAACCTTATAAGCCCTTCTTGTACTGTGAACCCAGGGTAGAGACTGTCAGACTGAGAGTGTGATGTGAGTATCTTTTGGCAGAAAGGATCATGCTCATAGCTGTTTAGAACTTCCTTCACCCACAAGGGTTTCACTGTAGTGATAGTTTGACATTCCTCATTGGAATTGTCTCTCCTTGAGAGTGCATCAGCCACTTTATTCTCAACCCCTTTCTTGTACATAATTTCATAGTCAAGACCCAACAACTTAGTAATCCATTTCTGTTGCACTGGGTTCATAGATTTCTGATCAAGTAGATACTTTAAGGCTTGTTGGTCAGTCTTGATAATGAACTTGTGACCCATTAGATAGCCCCTCCACTTTTGCACAGCCATCAAAACTGCAAGGAACTCTCTTTCATATATGGAGAGAGCCTGATTTTTCTGGCACAACCCTTTACTCATGAATGCTATTGGCCTTCCTCCTTGCATCAAAACTGCCCCTACACCTGTGCCACAAGCATCAGTTTCTAGGATTAAGGGCTGTGTAAAATCTGGCATGGCCAGAATAGGAGCTGTTGTAAGTGCTTCCTTCAGTTGCAAGAAGGCCTTTTCAGCTTCTGGGGTCCAAACAAACTTGTCCCCTCTCAATACATTGGTCATAGGCTTACTGATAACCCCATACCCCTTAATAAACCTCCTATAGTAGCCTGTCAAGCCCAAAAAACCTCTCAATTGCTTAAAGTTCTTGGGAGATGGCCAGCTCACCATACTAGAAATCTTCTTAGAATCTGTTGCCACACCTTGGTGTGAAATGATATGTCCCAAGTATTCCACCTCAGTCTGCCCAAATTGACACTTAGAGAGTTTGGCAAATAGGGTATTCTTTCTCAAAACAATGAGCACAATCTC